TAGTCAGTCAAGACAAATATCATGACTTCACTTATATGAGGACTTTAAGAGACAAAACAGATGAACATAAGGGAAGGGAAGCAAAAATAATATAAAAAGAGGGAGGGGGACAAAACATAAGAGACTCTTAAATATGGAGAACAGAGGGTTACTGGGGGGGGGGGTTGTGGGAGGGGGGATTGGCCAAATGGGTAAGGGGCACTAAGGAATCTACTCCTGAAATCATTGTTGCACTGTATGCTAACTTGGATGTAAATTAAAAATAAATAAAAAACAAAACAAAACAAAAAAAAAAAAAAAAAGAAAAATAAACAAAAGTGTGCCTGGAAGGAATTTTGCCTCAGAGCATAAAACGTAAGCAGCTCTGTTTTGCTAAGTCTTTTGGGACTCTAAGAATACAGCTCCCTTTTCTTTGAAAAGGCATTAAATTCCTACGAGATTTCTGAAGGTATTCCAAAGTCATATTTGATTTGATTTGCAACCATTTCAGGGTTACACAGTACTTATTTCCTCTTCCTAGTGTGCTCACTATCCCTCCATCCCTCCTCAGCTCAAATAAGAAACTAAGAGGTTTCTTGGGTGTGATGGCTCTGACCCAATTCCAATGTCATTCCTTCACAACTCCATTTTCCTTCTTGCTCTGTGCATCTCCTGTGTATCTTTTTCTCTGTCAAACCAGTCTACAAGATTGCAACTTTTAAGTGAGTGAACATATTTTCCAGATTGTTGTTAAATTTCTAATTCTTTAATTTCCATACACAGTGCTCTGATTTGGGGGACCCTCTAGTGGCCACATCAGGAATTGTTTTAGCTAAAACGAATTTTCAAATGCACCTAAAAGATATTAGACATACCATAAAAACTTTTAGAAGTGTGCTTTTCTGACTCCTAACTCAAGAGAGAAAAATAAAGCACCGAATTTGCCACTCTCCGTGAGAAATGCCAGGAAAGGGGTAAAGCAGCAAATCTATGGTAACACCGGAAAGATGGCAATGGCCTAGAAACTGTAAAAACTCTAGAAATACTATTTGGCTTACCTGTCATCTCCGCAACATACCAAGAAAAAGGTGAAGTAAAGACAGGAGCTGTCCGAGCCCCAGGGAGGCTCCAGGAACCAGGTAGAGCAATAGAAAGGGAAGGAATGCACGGTGAGACAGCAAATCGAGCAGCTAATTTGAGTAGGCAGTCATTTCTGCGTTAAGAAGCCTTCAGTGCAAATAGGTCCCCACAACTGCAGCAGGTCTCCCATGCCTGACACCTAACCTTACTGACTCTAATGTGGCTAGGTTGTCCCTGTACAGTGGTTGGTAATGTTGCTGGGGCCTGTGGCTGACCCCTCATGCGATGGAGCGGTTAGACAGTCTCAGCAGGACTATGGTTGTCAATAGATGTGTCTTTAGGTATCTAGACAGCGAAGGGACCAAGATTAAAATGTTTACCTTACAATTTACTTTGGGAAAACTCAACATCTTACTTTTTTCACGTTTCACAGACTTTCTGATATGAAATTTCTTTTGGAATTTATACATATTTTTACTTGCCAAGGGTGTATAAATTCAGGAAGTATTTAGTTTAAAAAAGTAACATAACAGTTTATCTGAAGCAGATTGGTGGCCCATGAAGTCTTTTCACTAACCTTTGAATAATAAAGGTTTAAATGGTTCGATCCTCATCAAAATCAATCTGGTCCATTGTCTTGTTTCTTAAAAAACAATTAGGTGTTAAGATGCCAATTTGCAATCATTCATGATATTCACTCAAGTAACTCGATCATACTTTCATCAAATAAAAACAATAGTCTCAGAGAGAGAGCAATGCCCAAGATGAACACAGACTGACTTAAAAAAACCCAAAGAGGTGAGATTGGTGAAGAAAAAAACAATAAGGGGGCATTTAAGTTTTTAAATATGATGTGACCCAGCAAGGCCACTGCTGGGAATTTATATAGTGGAAACTATAAGAAGCAAAATAACTGTATGCTGCACTATGATTATTTTCATTTATTCTGTATTCTTGTAAAGTAGAAGTCAGCAAACTTTTTTAGAAAGGGCCAGAGGAGAAATGTTTTAGACTCTGCGAGCCATACAGTCTGTTCCACCTACTCAACTGCAGTTGTAGCATGAAAGCATATATGGCTGTATTCTGAAAAAACTTTAAGGATACAGAAATCTAAATTTCATGTAATTTTCACGTCACCAAATTATCTTGTGATTTTCCAATCATTTAAAAATGCACAAACTACGCTGTGCTGCACGGGATTTAGCCCACGGGCTGTAGTTGTGAAGCTATGGGCTGCAGCATCATTTTCATAAGGTTGCATAGCGTTTCATTTTCTTATTAAAATTTTTCACTGTCCTAAACATCACACAGTTTTGCAGACATTTACTTCCCTCTCATGCTACCTCGGAAATCAGATATGCTACCAAAGAGTAAATGAATTCCACTCAACCTCCTTAACACTGAGTCCGCATCTTAGAAATGAAAGGTGTATGGCACTCACAAACTGAACTGCAAGAACAGTTCTTATTTCTTATTCTGAAGTCTAGTCTCAGCTGATTATGATTTTTTAACTGTACAAAACTATAATCTCCTTTATATAAAAAAAGTAAGCACAGCAAATAAGGCTAACATTCCTTCTGACCGCCCTCCATCCTCATACTCAATGTCCTCAGTTTACGCTAGACTTTTTCTATTAAGTTCACGTATTTTTAAATGTACATGGAAAATACAGTGTTAGTTTGACAATATTCAGTATTACTTTTTTGGTAACATACAGAGCATGTTTTGATGCAGATTATCTATTTCTTTTCTGAGAAAAGAATTCCTTTTTTTCAAGTGATGGTGTTGGGTTTTGCTCTTTTTCTCTTCCCTCACTGGGAAGCTTGCTTAACTCATGAAAAGATAAGGAGGGCCTTTGTGTCTACTGAAGTGCTTCCCCTCAAGATTATAATGCTCTCCAGAGATGTTTATGGCAAACGCCAAATGCATTTTTGAGACACTCTGAGCAAGGGAGATTTTTATGAGAATCAAGGATTTACAGATTTTCCTTTATAATGAATACCAATGTATTTAAAATCTCATTTTCAAGCAGACTTTTATAACCTTACCCTTATTTTCCCATCACTTTACTCTTACTCCCAGAGGATAATGTTTAAACTAAAAATCAAACAAAATGTGTAGTCAAAGAACCTATTAGTGATTTTTATATTGACATGTGCTCAGAAATGAAACATTTCCTTGGAAAAAGTTGAATGGATTAGATGACTACAGAAATAAAGACAGTTCTAAAAAATGAGCCTAAGAATTTTGGTAAGAACAGTTAGCCTGGAACAATTTAAAAGCATCTGACTAAAACAAAAGTCAAAGACACTACCTCTGAGATAAACATTTTAAAGATAATTATTAATGGTTACCGTAAATTGTGTTATAAATGGGTAATTAATTTTTTTAATGTTTTTATTTATTTTTGAGACAGAGAGAGACAGAGCATGAGCAGGGGAGGGTCAGAGAGAGAGAGAGAGACACACAGAATCCGAAGCAGGCTCCAGGCTCTGAGCTGTCAGCACAGAGCCTGACGCGGGGCTTGAACTCATGGACTGTGAGATCATGACCTGAACCGAAGTCAGACGCTTAACCTACTGAGCCACCCAGGCACCCCAGTAAATGGGTAATTAATTTTTTAAAAATAGACTGCCAGGTCAAAAAAAGTCACACTGTCTCAGGATGCATTAGTTAATATTTTATTAGAAAAACGATTTTTAAGGTAAATACACTGTAAAAGTAATCTATCTGCTTAAGTGTTTATTATCAGAAATGAATTAATGTTGAAAGCAATTATATGTATGTGCGTTCACACTCACACTCACTCACTCACTCACATACACTCTCCCTCTCTCTCTCTCTCTCCAAATATTTAAAATAACACTCAAATTTTAATGAATTAGGTCTTTACCAAATCTTATTAGAAGTTCTGGGGTGTCAGTAAACTCAGTTATCTGTTTTTGTTTCTCAAGGTGTTTCTGGATTCTTTTACCTATCAGTTTAAATATTACCTCTTGGAAAATGGCTCATCAATGCAAATGAAAAGTAATTTCAAATGTTGGGGTGCCTGGCTGGCTCACTGGAAAGGTGTGAAACTCTTGATCTTTGGGGGTTGTGAATGCCAGCCCCATGTTGGGTGTAGAGATTACTTAAAGTAATCAAGCTTAAAAAAAGAAAAGTAATTTCAAATGTAAACCTGATTAAAAAAATTAATTGCAATACTCTGAAACCAAATATAAATTAGTTTTGATAGATGAGCGTCTGGCATTATCATTACATCTTCTTTTTTCATCATATGAATAAACAATCAAAACAATTAAGACTCGACTACAACAAAATAATCATAGTTCATGTTTGGAAAATATTTACCTCATCATTAAATCACTAGATTTATTATTTGAAATACCAAAATAAAATGTTTTACTATTTTCCATTTTTAAAGTCTGTATTTTAGAACTAACCAGAAAAACTATTCCAAATACTACAAATAATATAATCAATTTAATATATTTAGTAAAATCTGATATTTAAGGCTTTTCTTTCAAGTTTGGACAGTATAAGAATGCTTTAGGATAAGAAAAAAGCCATATTACATATTCAAAGGAAAAATTTCCCAAACTTGTCTTGTAAATTAATAAAGGATCTGTTAACTTAGCAACTTATAACAAAGCCAACAATGATTAAATTTAAATTGTTTTTATTCACATATATGGTAAATACTATCCTCTACTAAAAAAAGCAATGACATCGTCTTTCAATCTGTCAGGCTTACTAAAGAAATTCATGTATTTCTTTTCTACATCATGTGTTGACATGGCATAGGATGCAGGATGTAAAAATCAATTTAATAGACATTATTAAATAATTTTATACATATGCAGAATCTTGGATAAATGGTTAAAATTATAGATGAACATTAAATGTGGGTACATGGGTATTTCATGTACACCAATGGGTTTATCAGAAAATGTGTTTGCACTGATTTCTGGTAACAATTGGCTTTCTGTGAATGTTTAAATACCCAATTCCAAATCTTCCAGCTCCTGGAGAAGGGCTTTCTCTTTCTGAATCTTCTCCAACTAGAAAAGTTTCAAACAACAAAGTTATTAAATAGGAAATGAAATAAAGTAATTATTGGATCTTTACCCAAAACAACAAAGCAGAAAAAATTTGTAAACGGTGTATTTCTGACATTTTAACAGACCCACTGGTAAATACAGATTTAAAAATACAGAGTAACAAGCTTTAATGTGTTGCGTGGTATAAATCAAGGGGGCAAAGCACAAATGCCACCTTACTGCAACTCTGAGGGTCCAATAAATTTTCATTCTATACTTCGGCATCCCTCAGAAGGCGAGAAAGGAATAAAAACAGGGCAGTGCAACCTGAGATATAGGAAGGAAGAGAATCTTGTGTTTATCTACTGTAATACATTGCCTTTATTTTCAGCAGCAATGGCCTTACTATGCCTCTTAGAAATCACGATTCTCTCATTTACCATGGTCTACATCCGGTCTGGTCTTCCCCTGTGCTTCTCCGTTTAAGTATAAAAGGGTTTTACAAAAGATATGGTTTTCAAAAGAAGTTTTTAAACTCATGTGCTCTTACTTGATTAAATGATTGTGTATAATAAAAAGGGAAGAGTGGTAGTGACTACACGCGCGAATGAAACACGTAAAAATGACCTGATTTTTTTCTAGCTGTTTTCCAGCTGCGGCTTGTTCTTTCAGTTGTTCGATTGCTTTCAGTTTCTGCAAACATCAAATATATTATGAGTCAAGAGGAAGGAAGAATAAGTAATTTCAGAATGCAAATTTTTTTAGTATCACCTCAATCACATAAATGGGAAAACTGAGTAAGGAGAATCAATTATCTCACCTTTGGATCAAGGATAGTCTGGTAAAATGCTAAGATAAACTCTTTTTTTAAACTTAGATGTAAAACTAAACATGTTAAGAACACAGGATTTGGCAAATTTTCAAGTTTTCAAGTAATGGTATTATATATGTACGTGTATGTATACACATACATGTATTCGTAGGTAAATATATCACTAACTTCACTGTTTTCTCTAGCACTCCACTGTACCTAGACAATGTCTGTGGCTTTAAGAGACCCTTCATAATGCAGCCTGGGCAGGCTCCAGAAACCCGATTTTATACCAGGGCCATCACCACAAACTGGCTGCAATTTGGCAAATTAATAAACTTCTTTTTGTCTCCGTTTCTTCACCTTTAAAACTGGGATAAACAGCTGTTCCCACTGATCTCGTAAATGTCTAATGAAATACTGAGTATAAAACAGTTCAGCATATTTCTGTACAAATGGACCTTTTTTACTGCTCCAAAAATCAATAATAAAAAGACTTACAGCCTTTAGACATTTATGAATAGAACTAAAACCAGTGCCATTCCTAAATTATAGTATTTCATAGTGAGAAAGCAATAATCAGAGCTGCTTCTAACTTCTTAGATGCCTATCTTTATATATTTCTCATGTATGTCTTTTAATAAACACATCTGCTTTTTACTTAAGTCTCTTACTTTTTTTAGGTTCTTGATTTTTTTGTCTACTTCAGGGTCTCCAGAGGTTGACTGCGAGATAGTATTTCGTGGTGTGCTCTGTGGGGCAGGAGTAGGTGCCAAATCGGGACTCTTTTCATTCCTTGCTTCCTGCAGGAAATATTTTCAAAAAATCAATTTTCTAAAATCAAAACATTAAAGTACGTCAACCAACAGAGCCTTGATATATAAAATGCTAAAGCCAAAATGTGATTTTATCTTTTATACTACATTTTATGTCATTGATCTGAATTGAAGGTCTCACGAAATATGCCACATTGTCCCATAACAGAAAGATACAATGCAGCTTAAAAAAAAAAAAAATCACAGTATAAGGAAGACACCCAGAAGGTTTTTACTGTGTAATTGTCATAGAGACTACTTTGCTAGATCTAAAATTTAAAGTAGCATAATAATTTGAGACCCATGTTGAGCACTGTTAGTGCAGAGCCTACCTGGAATTTTCTCTCTCCCTCTTTCTTGGCTCCTCCCTCCCCCCTGCCCCGCTCCCATGCTCATGAGCATGCACACTCGGTCCCTCTTTCTCTCTCTCTCAAAATAAATACACTTAAATAAAAAGTTATATTTAAAAAAAAGATATTTCTGGAGATGAAGTATATTAACTACAGAAGAGCACACTGATTTTTTTTGAAGCTCAGATTTTAGCAGACTATGGCTGCATAATGCAATTCTATACCTTAAAATAGTCATTGCCTGTCAAAACACGTAAGCAACCTAGAGCTGACAAAATTCAAGCATTGCCAGCAAGACCGCATTGTCCGAATCTCAAAACTATGATCGCCATGACTTCACGAACAGATACTCCTAGCTTAGCTGACCTCACCATCACTATAAGACACACACAATCATAATCTGTCCATTATTACACTGCTGTGTTTTTTCAACTATAAAATCATATAACAATCCACCGTTTTGGGTACTTCTGGTGTTGACATTCCCAGCTGAATAATTTCCTATAGTAATGTAATACTGAGAAACAAAGTGGCTTTAGTATCGTGTCATTTCTGATCTCTCTTAACAAACGTACGCTTTCAGGGAGCAAACTGCACCACTTCACACAGGCTCCACCAAAAGGGTCTACGACAAGTAACGTTACTACACAATCCTATCAGGGTTTCAGGTTTTAAGATCAGGTCGTTTCCTCGCTTCCTCATTTTATTTTATGGAACTATTCAGAAATTCACAGGCAAACACAAAAAGAAAGACATTCTGGCTATTTATATCTAACTCCAACTACATTTTATAACGGAATAGTCAAGTCTTGAGGACTAGAATCTTTAAACTTTGAGGCTTAAACTAAGCTAATTTAACTGGTTTTGTTTGTTTTGTTTTGAAAAGATTAGTGCCCCAAATACCTGTTTTGCAGCTTTCTTAGCCTCATGCTTCCTTTGATTTTTCAGGGCTGTTTTTGATAATGGCTTATCATTTCCTGCTTGTGGTTTCATATTCTGAGGTGGTTCCTCCTCATGCTGTGGAAAATGTAAAATAAATGACTGTGAAATGCAGTCCATGTTTTTAAAAACAGGTATCACAAATCATATAATTTTGCTAGTGTGGAATAAACTTATTAAATTTGTTTTACAATCACTGGCAAAGAATATTTCAAAATTCTTATTAGTAACAGGCACACTCCAACTGTCAGGATGGATTTAATAAGGATCTTCCTATTAACTGATATATGGTGTCTTTCATTTATACAAGATCTGGCAAAATTCACTTCAGTTTTGCTTCAACAATGGAACTTTTCTTAGTACCACTATGACACATGATTCTTCTGAAAGTAGATACTAATGGTAGCTCCTTCCGGAGTCTTTTTGGATCGGACTACTGCCAACAGAAACCTAGTTGCCTCATTTGTTTTCTCTGCACAAAGAATTACTTGCTAGATCTTTATATGCAAAACCAGAGATTAGAAGATTAAAAATAAAAGCAAATTGAAAAACGAAAACAGACTAGAAGAAAACAAAACAAGAGGGGTGACTAACCGCATACTTATAAATCCAGTATTAACATAATGAAGAGGCATACAAAAAACTCAATGACCTGTCAGACTATACAACAAAAACACATCATCATTTCCATCATGAGATATTTATATAGCCATCCATCAACTATATTCTACAACAGAAAGAGGGTGAATTAAGGAGTGGATCAAGGAGGTTCTAATATAAAACACAGTGACTATGGTTGATAATTGAAATTTGTGGAAACTCAAATGTTCCCACCACACACACACACACCCCACAGTGAGGTGAGATATTCATTAATTAACTAGATGGGAGGAATCCTCTCACAATGAATACATCTAACAAATCACCATGACAGACACTTTAAATATCTTACTATTTCACATGTCAGTTAATTTCAATAAAAGAATACACACATACAGGTTTACATTATCTCCGGAGCTGCTTCAGGCAACATACAGGATACATGACAGTACTACAACTTCTTATCAGGTTCATCTACTCAGCGATTTCCCTCTAAACTGCCGTTATCTTAGTGGTAACTGTCTCTTGGACTCTTATCATTCTCAGCACATCAAAAGAACCAGATCTCCATGAAGGTTCTTAAGGACTAGCTCTCAGATCCATGTTGTACTTAAAAGTGCTATAAGGAAATGGGCAGGGTCAAACGTTTAAGATGACGGAGGAATAAATAAGAAATCATACCGTGACTTCATCTTAGCTGCATGAACCGTAACAGGTCATCAAAGTTGTGTGTGCATACATGTTCTACCTGAAGCAACTGAATATATGAGAACCCACAATTGTAGAACAGATTTGATGGCACGTCTCTTTCACTTTCTTATCCACACAGCATACAATGTTAGTTGAGACATGGCTTTATTTGCCGAACATTTGTTTTACACATCAAAATTCTCTCAATAGTGGGCTCTCCTATAGTACTTTGCTTGGGATAAAAAAGTTTCTATTCATGAGAACTCCAGGGAAATGACAAAGCAATTACAAATGATATAAGAAAGGATAAGTTACAAGGCTATTCCACAAGGCTCTTATCCACAAAGGATAAGTTACAAGGCTCTTCTACGTTATGAACATAACGTAGCCATCGACAGGCTTTCATTTTAGACAAAAAGAAAAAAATATCCACACAGCTACTACGGATCATGAGCTTTTCTGGCTTTAGTACTGTGCCTATCGCATACAATTTCATCCATATTAATATATTTTTTTGATCTGTGTCAATTATAATGGGACTGTTTTAATGAACACATTACAACACTGAAGGGTGATTTTGGAAGCCAAGAAATACTTAAGTATAATTTATAGGTGAGTTTTTATTTATAAAAAAAGTTTTTTCTTCAGAGAGAGAATCCCATCATTTTTTTCCCCTTGTGATACATAACCATCCTCCTTTGTGAAGTTATTTACTAGAATGTCTTTGTTTCTACTAATTTCTTAGCAGTATTTTTTTTTTTTTTTTTGCCATTTAGCTCATTTCTAGAATTTGATACAAACAAAAAATTCTCATTAGCCTGTGGTTCCTCCATTTAAAATCATTTGATAAAATCACATAATCGTCATGTTACGTACAAAAGCAAAAATTTAGTGGAAATCTTAAATGGTGAAACAATTTTGGTTTTAAATGTTCTTACTAAGTTTTATCACTATTTTCAAAGTATATCTTTCTCTTCCTCCCCCTATCAAAACAAATGAGTTTTATGGATCAGAGAATAAAAATATACAGTGATTCGGAATTTAGCCCTCTTGTGCTTACAGATATTTAGAAAGCCAGATATGTTGAGGTCACTTCTGTTTTTATCTTAGGTAAGGAAAATTTCAATATAGAGGGAAGACAATCCAAAGTCTACTATATCCTTCTGTTTTAATCTATATACAAATATCATAAATGGGCTTAATTTGTTCATAAGTTTTTATGTTTTTAGTAAATGATACAACAGAAATGTTTAAACAAAACATTTCAATGATGTCATTACAGACCACTGCTAGATTTTGTGGAGGAAGAAGGGTTCCTCTGTTTTTGTTTTTGAGAGGGTTAGGAGTGGTACAAGGGAGGCATAGGATATTTATCCTTTGAACAAGTGTTGACTTCCCTGAGTGGCTAATAATTAAGTGACTGAATATCCTCATTTACTTGAACCAGTTTACACCTACTGTATGGCCACCTATATAACACCAATAATATTGTTGTTCATTCTTATAGAACAACTTTATTTCTTAACATCATCACAGAGACTCAGATCACTAATAAATGTTTCCCCTGAGCTCTGAAATGCTCACATTTTAAAGATCAGAATGTGACCAATGCTCTAGTCATAACTTTACAATACAGATGGGAAATGACAGCCTAAGGAAAATAAACATGTTTTGTTTGACCAACAGTGTTTTCAAAATCGAGCAATTTTACATAAGCATCCAGACTGGTTTTGTCTTGAAAAATCATTTTGGCAAACTGGGCCTAAATCTCCTATGGAAACAATCAGCTACTGCTGTGCGGTTGCTATGGCCTTTAAAGAGGGCATGATCTCTTCCTTCCCCCATTCTCTCCCAGTCACCAAAGCCTTACATTACCAGCCTAGCCTGACAGGCATGTGAATTCGAGCCCATGATGTCTACAAAGGCAGCATGTCATACTCCATTATCTTTCTCACAAATGTAAAATGTGAACTGTTTTAAATGGACTACTCTGTTAACAATGTCAGCTGTTCCCCATCTTCAGTGGTAGGTCCTCCATGATTTCTAGAGTTTATATTCTAATCAGGTGCTAAGTAACACAAGAACATACATGAGAAAAAGGTCTCGAGAATTCCACACACTAAAAAAACCTTTTCCTACCAAAGTAGTAAAAAACTTTACTTACTAGTTTGGAATTGGTGATTGGTTTATTTCTTAAAGCTGGAGGTCTATAAGCTGTTGCAACTTTAGGTTCTTCACTGGGTACGTCACTTGGAACTGCTTGGTAAGTTATCGTTTTTGCTGGAAATATTCCATCCAAAAATGGCTGCCAAGAAACCTGCCATAATTCTGCATTTGATGGCACATCATGCTTGTGCAAGACAGAGCCAGTATAATGCCAAATCTTGTACCCATTATTGACACGTAACCTGGGAGCACATGTGGCTGTTAAAATATGCTCACCATCAGGGCACCAAGCAAAATATGTAGAATCAGAGGCCACTGGTTTAGAAATAAGTTTGTAGTTTTTAACATCCCACACTTCCATTTGTCCCCTCAGATTTCCAAACCCAGCTAGTACTAATATATGTCCATGCGGGCTATAGTAGGCTGCATTACGAGGACCAGTTCCGAAGTCAAAAACAGGATCACATTTCAAGTTGAAAATTGTCGCTTTGGCAGGCATAAAACCATAAACAGCACAAAACTCAGTAGAACTAGAATTCCAAACGACATCATAAATGGGGCCATTTTTTGCTAGAAAAAGAATATAAAACCGAAATTAGCAATAAAGAATAACATGAGTACAATATTTATTAGTGAATTACAATTGTATAATACTCATAAACATGTCAAACAGTAAAAAAAAAAATCCAACAATTTCAAGATACATTACAATTAAAATATTTTTATATGATATACTATGGATATTGATGTATAACCATAAATTTATTTAAGAACCTCTAGGGAATCTAAATTTCGTTTAAACATTTTGGCAATGTAGGCTCAAAGACACACGTTATTATTACTATTACCAAACTAGTTTTCACTGGAAGAGGTAATGTGGGCACACAGGAATAAAAATACACATTATATAAAATGATACACCACACAATAAGTTCCCCCACACAAAGGCAACCCTCTATTCCCTGTATATACTTTCAGAATAGTTTTGTTGAAATTAAGCATCTCTCTTAACCATACATACACATACACACACACACACACACACACACACACACACACACACACACACACACACAGTTCTTTGTTGTTACAGTTAGTATTCTATCTTGGAGATGTTTCCATATAAGCACACTAAGATCTGCCTCACTCTTTTCCAATGGTACTGTATTCCTATATATTCTCAACTGTGAGTGTACACAAACACATCTATAGGAGTGAAACTGGCTGCTCAAAGGTACATACATTTAGTTGATAATGTGCTACCAGACTGCCCTTCAGAGAAGCTGTACCATTTTATATTATCAACAGGTTTTTTTTGAAGTTTATTTACTTATTTTTTTAGTAATCTCTACACCCAATGTGGGGCTCAAACTCACAACCCCAAGAACAAGAGTCACATGCTCCTCTGCCTGAGTTAGCCAGGAGCCTCAACAGTGTGTGAGAGTACAGATTTTCTCCTCATTCTCATTCACACTGTGTAGTTTCATACTTTTATCTTTGTCAAGCTGCTGAGACAAAAATTGTTGTCTTGCCTTCCTTTCTGTTCTTTTATTATAAACTGAGCACATTTTAATATACAATCTTATTTCTGGTTCTGTGGACTATTTTTTACTGTCCCATGCCTATTTTTCTCCCCAATTATTGGCCTTTTATTGATTTGTTATAGCAACAAAATTCACCTTTCTCATACTCATCCCTTTGCCATCTAAATAAATTTTCCCCAATCTTTTCTTTGGCTTATTTTATGGAATTTTCTTCCTCCGATGTAAAACTCTGTATTTTATATATTCAAATTAATCACTTTTCCTTTATTAGTTCTGCCTTGTTAGAAAATCTTTTTTCACTTTTTTAAGATTAGAAAAAAATCAACTTTAGAACCAGTTTACCTAGTTTATAAAAACCTACCGGCATTTTAATTTTTAGGTTAATTTGGAGAAATGACATCTTTATAAAATTCTCCTTATAAAGGTCACATTTTGTCCCTTAGAAGTTTTAAAGTTTTCTTCCTATTAGTCCTATTGATTTCTTGCCTTTTGTTGTTATGCATTTCCTTCTATTATGTTTTTTAAGTGGCTATTTATACTGTGACTTCATCTATACATACAGAGATGATTCTGTTTTTCCTCCTTCAAAAGTGTACATTTATTCTTTTGATATGTTACACTGACAAGGTCTTTCAGGATGTTAAATTATAGCGGAAAGAGGACATCCTTGTTTCCTTTCTGACTTCAGAGGGAATACATACTTTTTGTAAGGAAGTTTATCCTACTCCTACATGTTCAATTCAAAATGAAAAACCAGGGAGTTGCCAGAGTTTTAAAACTGTCTTATTCTACAGTTAATTTAGCTCATCAAAACAAAAGATAAAATGGTGACATTCCTCACACTCAGTTCTGAAGGAGTGCTACACTCACAAGACCAACTCCCTGTCATTATAAGTTAAATAAGTCCCCAAAGAGCTACTGCAATGAAATTAACCTCACTCAGCAAGTTCCCCACTAAAGTGCTGGCATAACTAAATTAATTGGATTCTGTCAAAATAATGTATGTCTGGGGATGACTTTAAGTTTATTAATCAAGAGGAATTTTACCTGAAAGGTTATTAAAATATGTGAGTTTTATCACTTGAACAAGAATTTAGATTGCATCATCTTTATGGCCCAGTATTTTTTCCATTGTTTTAGCATAAGAAGACTATGGGAATACTCACGTAGCTGCACGACAGCGCTTTCTCCGTTCACTGCAATGTAGTGCAGCGTTTGTTCCCCGTAGTAGGACGCCCCTGTCTTGTCAACGTCTGTACTAGCTATTACTAACACAGCAGTAGCTAGAACGGAAAAAACTTTCATTAGATTTAAAACACAATTTAACCTGATGCTGATAAGAAAAATTTTTTAAATTTAACACAGCACATGTAAATTTTCATTAAATAAGCATTGATATTCTTTTTTTCTATATACATATAGGAATATAAGCCTCAATGAATACTTGATAAATGAGATAAAATGTATTTATCATACCTTTTTTATTCCATAGCATTGTAACTTTATCAGCTTTAAAGAAACTTTTATTAGCTAAGGCTGCATGAGGTCCATCAAAATTGGGGTACTGATATAATCTAACAAATGAAGGTGCACCCTTACTTCCTGGAACATAGACAGCCACCTGAAATACACATACATCATCGTCACTTAATTTTCTGAGGCATATAAACTAAGATGGACATGTTTTTATAGTCACTAAGCACTAGGAAAAGGTTTAATTTCCTAAAATTCCATATGAACAAAGACATAGAAATTACCTTGTATGGTTGGGGTCCAGGTGATAACACAAAATCATTAATTTTTTGCAAATGCAATTTGTTTGCAATTGTGTCTAAAAAAAACAAAAAGCAAATGGTGTTGGAAGAATGAAACTAATAGGAACATGATAAATTCTGAATGTATTATAAACGATTAATGTAATGATATAGTAATACTGCTCATTGTAGTCTCATGAGTAGACTCATGTGGAGGGGGAACAACACAGACCTACATTTTAATTTCTACCCAGTCATTTAGTAGCTGGGTGACCTTGGGCAAGTAATGAGATTATACATCTAATCCCACTGATTGATTATAAGAACACAGGGCTCTTTCTTATATAAATGGTGCCACTAGGTAATCAAATAGTAGATGGGGGAATTTCTCTTTATAGAAGTAGTATAGCTTATAAATGAGAGGGTAGGGAGGAGGAAAATCACCAAAGTGCAACCAGTCATGAAATAACAGATCAGCTAATCCTACAAAATTACAGACAAGAAGACACTATGTGCTTCTTGATAAAAGAACTGAACACTGCTTGTGAGTCAGACTTGTCCTCATCTCCCCAAAAGAGAGAATCTGAAGCTGACCAGTTCTAGATGCAAATAGCTATTTAGGGGACAGATGAACATGTTAAACTATAGGACAAGATACAATAGCAAAATTCAACTATGAGAAAATATATGACAAGTAACCTTGTTTCTTAAATAATAAATCTCAAGGTGGGGGTAGAAGAGATGGACAGGGAGCCTATAGCTTAAAAGAAACTTAAAAGAGGGGTGCCTGGGTGGCTCAGTTGGTTAAGCATCCAACTCTTGATTTCAGCTCAGATCATGAGCTCACAGTTCATGAGTTCGAGCCCTGCATCAGGCTCGGCACTGACAGTGCAGCGCCTGCTTGGAATTATCTCTTTCTCTCTCTCAAAAATAAGTAAATAAACTTAAAAAAAAAAAAAGAAAAAGAAAAAGAAAGAAACCTAAGATTCTCTCTCTCCCTCTCCTCTACCTCTCCCCTGCTCACACACACTCTCTCCCTCTAAATAAATAAATAAATAAGCTTTAAATAAAACAATAACAAAAAATTAAAACATTTGCAATTATCAGAAATTCAAACACTGACCAGATACTTTATATCTGTGATAATGGTATTGTGGCTATTAAACAATTAAAAAGCCCTAGTCTTCAGAGATACATACTGAGATGTACAGGTAAAATTATATGATGCCTAGGATTTGCTTTAGCACAGTAAGAGAGATGTTAGGTGGAGAGATGTGTGGATGAGGTAGGATTGGCAATGGGCTGAAAGTTACTGGGACTAGGTGTCTACTTTTATGTTTGAAATTCCACACAATAAGACATTTAAAAAATTTGTATCAAAGAATTTCAATAGTAACTAAACTCCGAAAGAGGTATGCAAATGCCTTAATAGCAATTATTAAATAAAAACTTATTATAAAAACAAATCTTTGTTAGAATTTCTTCAGTATTTAGATTTACAAGAGTTATTCAAATGAATTAATAAAACAGCAATTATTAACATATTAACAGTATTTAGGAAAACCCTATGATGCCATATAAGGCAACAAAACTGTATATACATTTATAGTAAGTGATAAATTGATTTCATAAATCTTTCCATACTAAAATTGTTGTTTTCAAAGAAGTGAACTTCATTGTTAACATTTCGGGCACAGATAGTTTCATCTTCTGACCATGATGGACACCTACGTTGAAAGAATATGAAAAAAATTTAGACACGTGTAACTTCACATGTTAACCTGTTAAAGTTTGTGATACGCTTACTATTTAAGAAAAATACTTATAAATATGATGTCAAGTCAGTTCCTAATAGTTTTAGTTAAGCATTTGTAAAAGAAAGGTATTGTTCGTTTTCATCCAAATATTAAACAAAAGAAAGATCAAGTTTTTACTCTATTACATTCCCACATATTCCAGATCCTTAAAGATCTAGATTTTAGTCTAACAAATTATTTTCTAAACTAGTACCTGAGAAACAATATTATACAATGAAGATATTTAAACATTTTGTAAATAATTAGCATTTTAAAGCATTTATTTACCAATTTTGCATTTTTTTCTGAATGAAAGACTTCAAACATGTACCAGTTTTCACATCATAAAGTTGTAGGTTGGGTACCCCAGCTGTGCCATCTTTAGAAGCTAAAAGAAACACAGATGTCTTTGCTATAATTGTCTCCTAACATTAGTAAAAAGAATTTATTCTTAAAACAACTTTGAACAAGATTATAAAGATCAAGTAAAAGAGTTGCTTTAAATCAACTTTCCCTTTTGGATTTAATCTCTATTCCTAAAGCCATGACAAAAGTTCAGCATTTCTGAAATGAGTTGATTACTATAGATTTTAAGAGTACTTAAAAGATTTGTTTATTAAGTGTGACATGTTAAATGGATTAAATTATCTTATTATGAAATCAATCGTGTGTCTCTATTTCACACACACACAAAGTTACACAAACTATTCATGAGTCTCAATTTCCCATTTATTTAACTTGGAAAAAGAAGATTCATTCAAGTCTGCCTCTTGGAAGAAGCAAGCTAGAAGGTTTATAACCAAACAACGAACTATTATCATATATTTAACTCAACAATGCCCACACTATTAAAACATTTTTTTAAAAGCCCCTATACCCCGAGTGTTTTCTTCTTCATCTACGAAGTGCAGCTGTATAAAATGTTCATACAACATACCATCATATCGTTAAATGTGTTAAAAAAAAATGGCACACCATCTTCCTATTCTTTGTCATATCTTACACATTTCTTACATGTTGCGTCTATTGAACTTCCTCTTTGATTTACAATGATTATTTAAAATGTTTTCCATTTAAAGGCCATTATTATTCTTAATTTTTGAGATCTTCTCCATAAGTAACCACTGATGATTCACTTTCTAAAATTCCCCTTGAGCTTTTTCTTTTCCTCTATCTCACGATAAACCTTTTCACTAACTTACTGTACCTTGAAATTACTTAAAGTACATTGTATTGGGGGAATACAAGATTCATTGTTGAGTAAAGATTTTCACAAACACTACTTACTATCTAAAGATTAATTGCTTTCTTAAAAGGTTGTAAACTGTCTCTTTTTCTCCCCTGAATTGAACTGATCTTGTCAATATTCTTACAATTGGAAAATACTTACTAGTGTAAGGCTGCCACGTTGCCAGGACAGTGTTTTTTGGCGAGAACTCAAGGCAAACTGCCTTTGGGAGGTCGAAGGAGTGCCGTAGTCCCTTGTTAGTGACATTGATAATATTTATTCTGGTTTCAAAAGAAATTACTTCAGCAATGAAATACTGTTTTAAAATAGCCAGCACTATCCAAAACATTCATACCTCTTTTCAAATACAGATCACTGTAAAGTGGTTGTTTTCATAAAAATCAATTTTCAGGTAAGTTCTAGAAAACATCCAATAAACACCTTAACAACAACAACAACAAAAACCAAGTGTATGTTTTGCCAAAAGGCCCCTATGTAAGGCTGGTACTGGGGAATACAGAATTAGCAGAAGGATATAACACATGATTCTACTTTTAGCTGAAAAGAAAACAACAGGTCTTTAAGTGGACGCAGAGCTAACCTACATATAAGCTGAGGTGTATTAGACTAAAGCAAAATAGAAGTGCTAGGCCAAAAGTATATTTTTCAATTTGACTAAATGGAAGCTGTAGCAGTTGTGAGATCAATAAGGACGCTTTCAATGTCTATCAAAATATCAGAAGCCATCTTCAAAAGATAAAGGTAAAACTATGAATCATCATAATACGATAATGATGAAAATTACAGCAATTGTATAATAAAAGCAGTTTCCATTTTTTGGATGCTTTCTATGAACCATGTTTTGCTCTGACCACTTTATGTACATTTTCTCATTTAATCCTCACAAGAGATTTGTAAAATAGGTATTATCATCTCCATTTTACAAATGTTAAAAGTGAAGCTTAGAAAAAGTAAATGATTTATGATTTGTCCAAGATCATACGACTGATAAATGCCAGAGCCAAGTTCTAAAGTTTCCCAAGTTCTAAAACCAGTTTTGCCTGACTTGTCTTATGTACTCTTTGGGGGGAAAAATATATTCCATCTTATTTTAGAAATTGCTAAAAAAAAAAAAAAAATTTGCTTAAAGTTACTTTGTTCTATTCAAGTTTGGGACACTGGTTTAGGATAAGCAGAAATTGCTAAGAGTGAACGATTATTGCATATTGTTTAAACACAACACACACACACACACACACACACACAAATATACAAGATTCTTTAAAACTTACTGTAAATTACGTATTTTAGAATTACATGAAACTTTTTTTTTGGTTTTTGATAGCCTTTAAGAGTTATTCTTAGTTAAAAATAAAGAGTATTTATTTTAACTAAAACCTCACATATTTAAAGAAAAATCCGTTATAGTTTTTGATTAATTAACTATGACCTCAGCAAAGCCACAATCAATACACTACATCTGTTTCTCTTGACCTCAGGAACATTGTATGTTGTTGTGGCCATAGCAGTTTAAGGAAATAAATGCTAGAACCAGGTATAGAAAATATCTATTAAAAAGATGGACACAACAAATGGGCATAACAAAGGGTTCAGGGGCACCTGGGTGGGGCTCAGTCGGTTAACTGTCAGACTCGATTTTGGCTCAGGTCATGATCTCACAGTTCATAAGATCAGGTGTGCTATCAGCACAGAGCCCCATTGGGATTCTCATTCTCACTCTCTCTGCCTCCGCCCAGCTTTCATGCCATCTCTTCTTTCTCTCTCAAAATAAACAAGCTTAAAAAAACAAAAAAAGGTTCAGAGTTGAATCCAATAGAAAGCCAAGTAAGGATACGAAGTATAAAAAATAATAACTGTGAAGGTGAAAATAGGCTTATTCAACAAACTCTAAGCTAGCAAAATAAGGGATACTTCAAAAAGATAATAGACAAGAAGTATGGTATGTCCCATTAAATAGTGAATTTCTATGAGCTCATTACTCATAGTATAAATTACAAGATAAATTTTAAAAAATAAAAGTCAAATACCCACAATCAGTTACACCAAAAATAAGAAAATTTGAGAGTATGTTCTTTGAGACTGAGATTAAGACTGTCTGTTAACATTGTGGATAAGGACCCAATACGATTATATTCCTAATAATTTATGAGTAGTAGTATGCTTATTGGATTCAAAAACTTAAAAAAAAGAAGTCAAAAACTGATTAACATAAAATTACAAAAGCTAATTCTGCCAGGTACTTACAGTCATAAAAAGCGAATCATCTAATTCAGCACAATCTTTTTAGCATTAATTTAAAAAAAAATCACGTGTTTAATCCCATCTGACCTGACAGTTGAAAGACTTCAGCTTATATTACCACTGTGTAAAAACCAACATTTAAAATGTACTTTTTGGGGGCACCTGGGTGGCTCAGTCAGTTAAGCGACCGACTTCGGCTCAGGTCATGATCTCGCGGTCCGTGAGTTCGAGCCCCACGTCGGGCTCTGTGCTGACAGCTCAGAGCCTGGAGCCTGTTTCAGATTCTGTGTTTCCCTCTCTCTGACCCTCCCCTGTTCATGCTCTGTCTCTCCCTGTCTCAAAATTAAATAAAACGTTAAAAAAAAAATTTAAAAATAAAATGTACTTTTTGTATTAATGTATGCATTTTTCCCTTTTAAAAAACCTAACATATTACATCTGATAAGAAACAACAAAAATAACTTTAAACCAAATTACAAATATTCAGGCATTTTCCTGGTTCTTTGCCTGAAATGTTGTAGTGCCTACAGAAAAATTAAAAATGAGTGGTTTTCTTAATACAACTATGAGTACTTAATCAAAATACTTATTTTTTTTGCAAAACCAATTTTGTGATCTGATTATTTTATGTAATATAGACTATCCTAGACATACTTTTGAATAATTTATAAAATATTTAAATAATACTTTTATATACAATAAAACTCACAGTAATAAGCAAGCAGTTGCTACTAATTTAATACCAAAGATATAATAAAGTATCTAAATCTAAGGTAAACAAGCAAAGAGAGTTATTCTCTAAGTGTTAGCACAGAACTTAAGAAATCCTAACTGATAACTTAGAGCACTATGTAAAAAAACCTTTCAGCTTCTCTAGCATTAAATTAATTGCCCCTTACCACACATTACTTTTTAATTCTAAGAAACTAGATAAGTCAAGTCATGGCATATAAACAGAAGCTAACAACTTTGGAGGTGTTCTATGGAACCTGCATTTCAGACAATACCTAACTACATCATGACATTAAAAGATGGACTTTATTAATGACACCCAAACATGTGTTATTCAAATAATGCCAGTTACGTTTAAACTGATGACACATAAAATATGTTATATAAATAAACACTAACTTTTCTCCGTTGCCCCAGGCAAACAAGGTGCCATCCTTACTAAAGGTATAGACTTTGCAATTTTTCCCAGATTCCCTGAAAATGACAAAAAAACAGTTTAATAAGCATGAATACTTTTAAAAAAATCTGATTAAAAATTTACAATCTTATCACTAATTTAATGATTATGAGCTTACATAAATTTAAGAAAGTAATTCCATAATGCTTTAGTCTACCAAAATACCTTATCTCTTAAAACGCAGTACCAACAACCACTACAAAGTAAGGTGGAAATCGATGTTACAACAACAGATCAATCTTAAGGAGAAAACAGAGCCCTTTTAGGTGAATAACTGGTTTGTGTGAAAAACCCAAAAATGTAGGTGAACATGGAAGTTACGAGCTATCAACCGTGATCTTGAGGGCTGACGGATTTCAATATAGAGACTTTGTGAAGAATGTCCCAGACCACCTGCATAACAAAACAAGTGTGGCTACAATATCCTGAAGTAGACAAGAAGTGTCCTGGATTTGAAGGAAAAAGATCTTCCATCGATTTCTGATGTGCAGAGACAGAAAGTATAACAACGGTAAGAGGATCTTCACATTAAATAAGTGTGGATGCAGGATTCTCTACAAAAACAGACCTGGGGAAATCAGACTTCTTGGCAATATTGGCCAATATTCTATCCAGTGGTCAGTACTCTAAGTACTGTATCTCTAAAGATACAGGAGAGGGGCGCCTGGGTGGCGCAGTCGGTTAAGCGTCCGACTTCAGCCAGGTCACGATCTCGCGGTCCGTGAGTTCGAGCCCCGCGTCGGGCTCTGGGCTGATGGCTCAGAGCCTGGAGCCTGTTTCCAATTCTGTGTCTCCCTCTCTCTCTGCCCCTCCCCCGTTCATGCTCTGTCTCTCTCTGTCCCCAAAATAAATAAACGTTGAAAAAAAAAAATTAAAAAAAAAAAATAAAGATACAGGAGAAGGCTACTACGAGTACATCTTGCAGTGACAATCAACACCTGAACAGAAATGTGTATGTGGGAACATGTAAATGTCCGTAAGTGTAGTCACATAAAACCAGAACTTCATAGCTAATGAACATCTGGATTATTATGTAACAAGCACTGAGAACTGACCAGTACGTCCCCCTTAAACTGGATACTATCTTTACATTAATTCATCCGAAGATGACCTTTGTGTTTCTGCATCACATAATAATGGTAGCTTGTACTCAGCTTGTAGTTACTGAAATATCCTTTTTTGCCCTCTTTTCACATAAACAACTAGACCAAGATGTCCCCCATCCTACACTTGTACCGCAACTTATTTCTGAACCTAAGGGCAGAATGTGCAGTTATCCTTATTAATTCCACCCAGGCTTTGGCCTATTAATTAGTTCAGCCTACTGAGATCTATTTACATCTTCATTTTCTCTTACAAAACATTAGTCATTTCTTACAGACTTATGTAATGTATAAATTATAAAACTTCATTCTTAGCTATCCTCTAAATTCATGGTAAGAATGTTGAATGAGCTTTGGACAAGATCATATGGCTCACCAATATAGTCCTTCCCTCAAACTAAAATCAATTCATTAATCAGCTGACTTTACCACCATGCCACTTCGTCTCACGTAAATAATAACAATAATCCTTACTATCATTTAATACCCAGTCCTTGGATATCTAGGTTTTGAAAAGCTCCTCAGGTCATCCTAATGTGTGGCCAAATTTGAGAACCACTCATCTAAAAGCTTGACTGGCCATAGGTTTGTTTTTTGTTTGTTTTGGTTTTGGTTTTGGACCTTCCTAGAAGTTAAGTATCATGTAGTTCCCATTACTACCCACCAGGGGGTACATAATGTCTCCTTGTTCTACCCTTAGTGATGCTGAGGCTGTACTGGACTCTTCAAGTGCCTCCTCAGATTCACCCTACCTTTCCTGCTCCCAGTCATCAGCTATTCAATGAAGAAACCTGGCCACCTCATGCCCTAACACCACTGGTTGTCTCAGACTTTCTAGGAGTGAGGGCCACATTTCAGCACGGCTTCCACTATGCCTACTGCAGCAGCAGGAAGAGGAGGCGACATTCAGATTCAACCTGAATAGACCAAAAAAGGCTCTGGCTGTACATACATTTCTTACCCTTCCTCTCCACGACTGTTCTGAGGCACAGTGGTTCCTTACAGCCTCTCCGGAGACATTCTGCATGACCAAGAAACCTGGCTAGATTTTATGAATCTGTGGTCAGCTCAGTGCACTCCACGTTAGATTTACTTTCACTTCTTCCCTGCCTTATTCCCTTTACCCCTCATTCCTGCTGCCTTGGGATTGTACACCCCACTGAAGTGCTTGCAGCACAAAAGCTCTGACACAGACTTGTTTGCTAGAGTAGTGCTTTTCAAATATTAATATGCATACAAATCACCTGAGGGTCTGGTTAAAACACAGATTCTGATTCAGTAAGCTGAATCAGGGACTGAGATGTTATACTGGTTCAAGGTGATGGCAATATAGCTGGTCTTGATACTTCCTGTATCATGGTTCTAAAGAACTGGGTCTAGTAAAAATTGGTCGACAGACTTAGGTGATGTCAGCCTGATTATAAAGTTCCCCATCCATAGTTCCTCTAACAGGCTCAGCGTCTTTTGATGATCATTTGCCCAGATCAGTGGTTCTCAAAGCAGGGTCCCTAAACTTGCAGCTTTGGCATTACTGGGGAACTGTTAAAAATTCTAGTTCTTGGGCCCCACCCCAGATCTAATGAGTCAGAATATCTGGAGAGGAAGCAGCAATCTGTGTTTTAACAAGCTCTTCAGATCACTCTGATGTATGCTAAAGTCTGAGAACTGACACAAGATTTCTTTAAGATTACAATGATTATCTAACCCCAATGTTACTTCTGTATTTATCCACTGGAATTCTCCTCTAAATAAGTTTTCCTCATCAACAATTTGGATACTTTGAAAAACCGTCTGTATGGGAAAGACAAAATAAACGCGTGATTTCTTCTCTTGATTTGTCAATTTTCAAAATAATGGGCAAGGACCCCATCAACCTCCAATGCTGACCAATAAGATTTGGAGAGAGAGGAATTTGGGGGCGAGTGTTTACATACTTGAATGTCTCAATCCTTTTAGTCATGATTCTTTCCAATGCTCAAACTGCCTCATCTTAAGTTGCTTTGAATGCCCTGAAGTTGACTCTTGTGACTCTTCAACAAAGCCCTGGTAGTCTTTTATAGCTTCCTTGCTTTCTGGACCAAAATGTCTCTAGCTCAACTCGTACTGTCTTCTGTACTAGACCTGGAATCAGTCGCATCTTCAAGGAACGAGTTCCTGTTACTGAAGAATGGTGTTTAGAGATCATAAACTGTGAGACAGGGGTATTCACTGCTACTACCTTATCACCGCCCCTTAACCTTTTTCAGTGGACATTACTAAAAAATAGAATCGTTTTTATGAAAAGAAATCATGAGTTCATACTGACATATGCAAGTCTATCCCTTCACCCTCAGGCTGAAAATCTTGGTTTCTCAGGATGTTAATATAATTGTTTTATCCTGTAATAGATTTAAAATGACAATATCAATTTTCTGTTGCCAATAAAGCTACTGAACGCATTTAAGAATTTTGAATGTCATCATATAGTTATGCCACCATCTTAATACTTTTATTTGTTTTTGGTTTAGCCTTTTTATTCTTTTTAAGAAAAAAATATATCTACATCTATCGATCGTATTTCCTTCCTTTCTTATACATTTGTCATTCTCTGATTTTACGAAGACTGTAGGCAGAGGTTTGACTATCACATTTGCAAGTTTTTCTTCATCCCCTAAGATAAAATTCTTCTAAGTCAAAGGCTTCAACACAATTATACTCGTGTCTACACTTTTTCTTTTAAACATGCTGAAGCTATTAGTTTCAAATCTAAAGATTGATCATTTTTCTTGGTAGAGAACATACATTCTTTCCATCTTCTGTTAATATTATATAACATACCCCAGGAAACTCGCTTATCTGCTCTTTCTTTCTTGTTCAGAATATAACAACAGCAAAAATAATTTAGAATTATTATATAGTTCCCTATAACATCACTTAACAAAATAAACCATACCTTGGAAACAATGTGCTTTCTGTAAAATGTGGTGGTCCATTTACCATGTAAAGTCCTTCTGATCCTCGGACTAAAAAAACAAAACAGAACCACCATTAGTTTGTTAATAAATACTCAGTAATCACAAATATTTTATTTTATATTTTATTTCTTTTCTTTCTGAGAGAGAAAGCATGAGCAGAGGAAGGGCAGAGAGAGAGAGGGACAGAGGATCCGAAGCAGGCTCTGCACTGACAGCAGCAAGCCCAATTCACAAACCACAAGATCACAACCTGACCCAAAGCTGGACGCTCAACTGACTGAGCCATCCAGGCAACCCACAAATATTTTAAAAAACAAAAAGCTTTCAGTCAAAGTATCAATGAAGCTATTAAACATTTCATAAAACTATACAATGTTGGCATTACAAAGGTAAATTTTTCTTAACCCTATTGCATGAAATTACGTAACCCTATTGCTGGGAAACCAATAGGTAATGTCATGGAATGTTTATGTCTCCCCCAAATCCCCATGTTGAAACTCTAATCCCAATGTGATAGTATTTGGAATTGGGGACTTTGAGAAATAATTAGATCATGAGGGTAGGGCCCTCATGAGTGGGATTAGTACCCTTAGAAGAACAGTCCCAGACCTAGCCAGCTTTCCTTCTGCCGTGTAAAGATACAATAAAGAGTTGGCAGTGTGCAACCTGAAAGAGAGGAAATATTAGAACACAGGGTGGCTGTGTGCTTTATGCAAAACAATAACCTAAAAATATAGAATATATTCAAAGTTCTTAAAGAAAACTAGGCATTATTAATACAATTCTCAAACTAAGAGAACAAGTGGGATGAGACACATTCATTACAAAGTTCCCAAGGACAGTAATATCCTAAAAAATTAAGTGGGAATAAAGTCCAAGATTAAGAACATCTATACAATTAATTATATATTTTTAAATGGCTGAATTAGAAGTTTCTAAAGCTGAATCGAATAAATTGATTTGTTCATTCAACAAATGCTTACTGAGTAAAAAATGAAAACTGCCTCCCAGACCCTCTGTTGAGTACTGGAGATACAATAGGGAGGAAAATCAGACTTGTTCCTGAGCTTATTAACCAAATAGTTAGTCAAATACATGGAATTCTGTAAGTGTGCTTAGTGCTACAAAGTAAAGATATATGGGGCTAATCCAGTGATTAATAGGTGAGTTTTGATCTGAAAATGGAAAGTTAGGGAAAGTGTCCTTGAGCACAGGATTTGTGTGCTGAGATGTGAGGGATGAATGGCAGTTAACAAGCAAAGACAACAGTAACAAGTGCAAAACCTCCATGGCAAGAGAGATGACAGCAACACAGAAATGGAAAGAGGGCCTTTATGGAAGGAACTGGAGCTGGAGAGGAAAACAGGGTTCAGACCAAGCAGGATCTTATGGCCTAAGTTAGGCAATGTTGGTCTGTAGCCTAAGAATGGTGGGGAACTTCATGGGGTGCCTGGGTGGCTCAGTCGGTTAAGCGTCCGACTTTGGCTCAGGTCATGATCTCGCGGTTCATGAGCCCCACGTTGGGCTCTGTGCTGACAGCTCAGAGCCTGGAGCCTGCTTGGGATTCTGTGTCTCCCTCTCTCTGCCCCTCCCTCACTCGCTCTCTGTCTCTCCCTCTTTCAAAAATAAATAAACATTTAAAAAAAATGGTGGGGAACTTCAGAAGGGTTTTAGGCAAATTTTGAGAACCACATTTGCATTTTGTAAAGGTCAATCTGGTACAAGGTAGAGAATAAACTGGAAGAGAGTTGAGTGGGTAAGAAAAGACTATTCAAGACAGTTCTGCAGGAATCCTACAGGAAAGCATAGAAACTTGGACTGGGGTGGGCAGTGGAAATGGAGAACGAGTGTGTTTAATTTTAGGAGGTAAAATTAGCAGGGCTTGGTGATGAGTTACTATTTTATCAGCTAAAATTCTTGCTAGCAGCAACAGTTTAAGAGCTGAAGAGCAGAAAAACTTTTACTGAGGTTCATGGTTATAATTATATCTGCTTCCTTTTCTGCCAGCTGTTCACAAATATCCCCTTCCTCTCTTTACTGAGAAGGCAGCAAAGTTGGTAAATAGGGGCCACTCTCAACTCCCTTGTCGAGGGACGGTTCTCATTAACACTGATTTTCTACCTGAGAATTACTAGCTCAATTTTCAGATACAGAAAGTAATATAATTTATAGACCCAAAGTAAATAAAGTTAGCATGAAAGGAAAAGAACCACTGATGAACAAGACAAAAATTGATGTCTTAGTGGAGCCTCCATTCTAATGGAGGGATGGAAAATAAGCAAACATACAACTAAATGAAGTTTCTAGTTAGAGATCCAAAAGTATACAAGTAGCTACCATGTTTCTTCATATGCAGAGCACCAGACTGAACTGTCAAACTGTTATAGGTCCTTTGGCCTTGAATGGAATGAATTCTAGCAAAGTGTTCTGCATGTATCACAATCTTTTTTAAGTTTATTTATTTTGAGAGAGCGTGTGTACGCGTGCTCTAGAGTCGCGGAGGGGCAGAGAGACAGGGAGAGAGAATCCCAAGCAGACTCCGTGCTGTCAGCACAGAGCCTGACAAGGGCTCGATCCCACAAACCATGAGATCATGACCTGGGCTGAAGCCAAGAGTCAGACACTTAACCAACTGACCCATCCAGGTGCCTGTGCATATATTAAAATCTAAACTCCTTATACTACGGCCTATAAACTTCTATATGATTTGGCCCCTTCACAGTTCTATGGGCTAGGTATTAGGGATTTAAAAAAATGGATCCATCACTGCACTCAAGGTAATGATGTCAAAGGAGCTCAGTCTGTGGCTATGCCTTGAATGAAACACTGAAGTTATCTATTTTAAAAATCTCTAATGACATTAGAAAATTTTGTGCCAGAAAATGTTTTCCTACAAGATTTTAAAACTATGAAGTATAATCCTTTAACATGAAAATTCTCACTTGCTTCTCGGTTTTTTGGTTAAGATCAAATGCAGCACCAATATACTACACAGGCAAAACGATGCTATTTCTCATTATCAAATCATCTGCTGCAATATCATGTATGACACATTCTGATTTAGAAGAAAACAGGCCATTCTTTTCTTAATACTATAATAATGGTTTTAATAAATCTTTATTTGAGGAATTAATCAAAAATGATTTTACCAAACTAGGGAGTTAGTTACCAGATTACACTTTATTATAAGGGTTACATAAAACTTTGTCAGCCTAATGAAGTCCTCCCACAAGCTGCTGTGGCAACTTAACACATTAAGGACCCTCTTACAGAACTCACATATAGGCCTAGGAAAATAAAACAGCGTATCATCAGTGAAGTCCCACTGAAGCTGAAATGTAATTAGAGAATGTGCTATATGATGATGCAATCAAACCATGTTCTATTGCCTTAACTGCCGGCCCTTAGAAAATATGCCTGAGGTGACTGGCAAAAAAGAAAAAAGGAAAAAAAAAAAAAGCTTTATCAAACTCATCTCAGCTTTTTGTGTTCTCATGAACTTGCAACTAGTGACCTTGGTCCTCTGTATTTGTTGACTTTGCTGTTATCAACAACCACAATGTTTACTCGGGGTAAAATTCAAAGTTTTTGTACATTATACAGTTGACTCTTGAACAACACAGGGGTTAGGGGTATTGAATCCCGCACAACTGAAAATCTGTGAATAACCTGACTCTCCAAAATATTTAACTATTAATAGCCTATAGCTGACCAGAAGTCTTACTGATAACATAAATGGTCAATTAACACATATTTTGTTATATATGCATACATACTATATTCTTACAATACAGTAAGTAAGCTACAGAAAAGAAAAGTGTTATTAAGAAAATCATAAGCAGAGGTGCCTGGGTGGCTCAGTTGGTTAAGCGCCTGACTTTGGCTCAGGTCATGATCTCATGGTTCGTGGGTTCAAGTCCTGCATTAGGCTCAATGCTGATAGCTCGGAGCCTAGAGCCTGCTTCAGATTCTGTGTCTCCCTCTCTTTCTGCCCCTTTCCTGCTTGTGCTTGCTCTCTCTCAAAAATAAATAAATAAACATTAAAAATAAATAAAAATAAAAATAATGTTTAAGTGGACCTGCATGGTGCAAACCCATGTTACTCAAGGGTCAATTGGACTAAAGTGGCAACTATATTGCCAAACCCATGACGGTAGCAGTGGGAATTTTCAGGGTATTCAGGGCAATCAGTACAAGGTTTTCCTTTTCTAAAATTTCTATTTCATACCTACATACCAAACTAAGACAGGTGGAAAACCCCAAAGGGTCTACTATAGACTGAATGATTACCACCCCCCTCATTCATATGTTGAATCTTAATCCTTAAAGTAATGGTACTTGGAGGTAGGCCTTTGGAAGGTAATTAGGTCAGGACAACAGAGCCCTCAAGAATGGGATTAGCACCCTTATGAAAGAGATCCCAGAGAGCTCTTTTGCCCTTTCTGCCCAGCAGACAATGGCTATCTATGAACCAGGAAGTAGGCTCTCACCAGACACCCAATCTGCCAGTATCTTGATCTTGGACTTCCCAGACTCCAGAAGTGTGGGAAATAAGTGTTTAAGCCAACCACTCTAGGGTATTTTTGCTATTGTAGCTTGAATGGACTAAGACAGGAACAGGAGCAAGGAACAAAAACTACTTAATCCACATTCTTTCATATAGATTGTTAACTCAAAATCTTAAAAGGCAACACTTGACAGAAATGTCAGTGTGAAAAGTGTCACTCTTTCCTGCTCAAGTAGCATGCAGTCTCATGTGGTTTTTACTTCCTGGTTTTAGTTATGTTTCTGGAGAAGCAAAATCTTGAGTCAAATTAATCAAGTGCTTTCAATATGCACATGTTCACATTCTAAATAAAGAACAGTTTTCTTCTTTTTTTTTTAAGTTTATTTATTTTGGGAGAGACAGAGTCAGAGTGGGGAAGGGGCGGAAAGAGAGGGAGAATCTCAAGCAGACTCCACACTGTCAGCACAGAGCCCTACATGGGGCTCAAACTTATGAAACAGTGAGATCATGACCTAAGCTGAAATCAAGAGTCAGATGCTGAACCAGATGAACCACCCAGGTGTCCCCAAAACAGTTTTAAAACACAAATCTGCAGGCTTCATGTTCTATGATTCCATTTATTTAACACTCTTGAAATGACAAAATTATCATGATAAAGGACAGATCAGTGGTTGCCAAAGTTTAGAGCTCGAAGGGGATTCTGACTATAAAAGGGTAACATCTTCTTTATGATAGAGTAGTTCTATATTCCGATAGTGGCGGTTACAGAAATCTATATATGTGACAAAATTTCTTAGTGTGATATACGCGCACAAACTGGTGAAATCCAAATAAGGATTTTAAGTTAGTAAATACTACTGTGCCAGCACTAATTTCCTAGTTTTGATAACATAGTATGGTTATGTAAGATAGTATACAAAGCTAAGTGAAGGACACAGGGGAACTCCTTTTACTGTTTTGCAACTTCTTGTAAGTCTTAAACTATATCAAGATATAAGGTGTTTTATAAGACCATCATTTTTGGTAGTGCTTGTTCACAATATGGCAAGAAATTAAACCAATCAAAAGTTTGGAAAAAACGTTTTCCAACATTTCTCAAGAATGGATTTGCTTGCGAATACCAGGCAAAAGTGTTACATTAAAATAAAAAATTGAAGAGACCACAACTTATGTACTAAGGTAAAAACAAATTCCATGAGACAAAAGTACAAACCAGGGCTACTTTAAAACTGGTGATACTGTTGGTCCCCATTCAATTAGACAACCCTTCTTTGTACATGATGCTTTATAATAGATATGTCTATTTTAGGGGAACTAATTATCAATTGAATTCATCATAAAAATCACAATGAGTCACTACAGTCTTGTTCGCACATGTAAATCCCTACTTATATTTATATTCATTTCACACCTCCTTACACAGAAGCAGAACTAGGAGAAAGTGTTGCAAGACGTTTTGGAACCACTAAGGTATTTTACTGGATTTAATCAGTTTGAGTAACTTCTACAAGAATAAATGGGTATACAAAGTTTATTAGAAGACACACAAAATCAGATTCTTAACAACATAAACTGTATTTTGAGTTAATAAAGGCAAAATAAATATGGATTCAAAAGTTCTTTTCAGTAACTAAAACAATTTTTCTACATATTACTTTCTAATGAGAAATTCATTTTAATTAGAAGTGACTAAATATGAAACAGTGAATACAATGTAGAGATAGTTTAATATAGTGTACTGAGAGTTGATATGATCCCCTGTTTTTAATGACTTTCCCCTGTTAATCAAAGGGGATCTGGAAATATGTTCTATTAGAAAGAAAAATCTAGAATATGAACAGTTCTTTTCAGTAAAGCAACAAATAAATGCCAGAGTTTCACAAAGAAAAACTATTTTAAAACAATCACATTAAATGTTGCACTTAAATAATATCTTTTAAAAAATTACTAGCCTTGGGGTGCCTGGGTGGCTCAGTCAGTTAAGCGTCTGACTCTTGGGTTTCAACTCAGGTCATGATCTCACCGTTCTTTAGTTAGATCCTGCATTAGGCTCTGCACAGCACGGGGCCTGCTTGGGATCCTTTCTCCTCCTCTCTCTCTGCCCTTCCCCTGCTCACTCTCTCTCAAAATAAATAAATAAAAACTTTAAAGATTACTAGCCTTTATAGATACTCATATGCCATTTATTGCTCTAGGGCTGACTCAATATGAGAAAACTACTAGGCTTCAACAACAAGGATCCCGTACCAGGGATATAGTGATCATTACAATGGGATACTTTTTCCAACCCTTACATTCACTGAAGTACCTATCAGTGCAGGAAAATGATTCCATTTTGAATCAATTATCTCAATGGTGGCCTCAACCAGGCAAGCTGATTAGACATATGGGTTTCATGTAAGGGCCACTGTTTTACATGCCTGGCATGGACACAGGTCCTACCTTCTAGGAGACTCTAATTTTCCAGGGGGAACTATCCAAGACTGAGACTATAATTTGGTCCTGGTGATTTGATTAAATATTGATTCAAAGATGAACAAGATCCAGCCAAGCCAAGCCAAAAACAGCCAGCATTGAGACTAGCAAAAAAATGTGCTTTCCTTTGGGGCTGTGAGCTAGTTGAATGTAAACCTGGAGAATGTTAGCCTAAGAATGAATTTAATTGAAAAGAAAGCAAGAGCCTAGGGATAAAGAAAAACATTTTTTGAGTCAAGTGAGTACCTGGGTGTAGCCGTACTGAAGCTTTACAATTACATGAGTTTCAAAAAAAAAAGAAAACTCCCTTTATCACCTACTCTGGCTTTTTGTCATTTTCAGTGAAAAGTTAAGACTGACAGGGGTGCCCGGGTGGCTCAGTTGTTTGGGCATCCGACTTCAGCTCAGGTCATGATCTCACGGTTTGTGACTTCGAGCCCCACATCAGGCTCTGTGCTGACAGCTCAGAGCCTGGAGCCTGCTTTGGATTCTGTGTCTCATTCTCTCTCTTACCCTCCCCCACTTGTGCTCTGTCTCTCTCAAATAAATAAATGTAAAAAAAATTAAAAAAAAAAGTTGCAACTGACAAAACTTACTGGACAATGTCCAAATTATTCCAAACTCCAAAATCCTGTAAGTCTAAGTTTAAAAAAAAATTTTGCAAGTAAAAATCTATTATTGATTGAAATACCTATACTAACAATTTTTAAAAATTAGTGTGTTCATGTAAAAGAAAAATGGACCATGGAGTTGAATGATTCAATATAATTCTAATTCTGCCAATTTGCAATGTGAATCTGACCACCTAATCTTTCAGGGCTTCTATGAATATGAGACTATGAGGGATAGACTGACTAGCTAATCTTTAAGCTCTTACCACGTCCTTAATTTTAAGCATTGTAAGAAAACTGTCACTTTGTTAATATGACTATAAATGAAGTGGTTATGCTTCATTAATTTATTCCTCCATCAAACATTTAGAATGTCTATTGTTTAGTACACACTGTACCTGGTATTGAGAAGACGGAGATGAGGAAAACTGTGCCCTGCCACCAAGGAGTTTAGTCTAGAAAGGCAGAAAAGCATCTAAACAACTAGATAATTAACCTATGTGATACGTGAAAAAAAAAAAAAATTCAAGTATATATGAAGTACAAAAATAGCCTGGGAGTGACTGATCGTCTGAGAAGAGTGAGGACAAGAGTATCCAAAGCAGGCTCTGTGCTGACAGCAGCGACCCCAAGTTCTTGGGGAACTTACGAATCCCCAAGATCATGACGTGACTCCAAGTCAGACGTTCAACTGACAGAGCCACACAGGCGCCCCAGAAATGAATTTTAAAAGATGAAAAGTAAGCCAAATCAAGAGGACCAGGAGTCCTAGACTGAAGTAGATTTTTCAAGGGTTTTGTAAGCAGTCCAATATTGATGGAGTACAATAGGGTGGGGAGCAAAGAAATGAATGCAAAGAGCTTTTCAAGGATTATGAAGGGTTCCACATGCTATGCTAAACAGGATGGAATTTACCCTGTAAACACTGAGCAGCCCCTGTAAAGATTTTTTTCAAATTAAATTTTTTACTTGTATATAATTAACACACAATATTACATTACTTTCAGATAGAAAACTTATCAGATTTTTAAATGTACTGTTTTTTTTAGAGTACAAATAAGCATTCAGTGTTCCAAAACTGTGAATAACATACTAGTTACTTTTAAGAAGCCAGAGAAAAAAATTCATTTAGTTATGTAATTATGCCTTTTAAATAGTATCTGTCTGGCATATTATCTTACAAATTATACTCATTATTTGATAAATATTTGATGACTGAACTGCGGTAGCCAGATTGATATGAGCAGTCATGGTGCTTAATAACAAAGATCTTAAAATGTAGAATGGCAAAAAGTGCAAAAGCTTTCTAATGTTCCTTTCAAGTTTGGGGACATAACCCCCTTCCTCAAAAGTAAACCACCTTTCTGTTAATGGTGTTTCTCCTTCTCTATAAGCTATCCATGGCTTAATCAAAGCCTCTGTTCTTTTCTCTCCCAATTCCCCTCTATTTGATACTCATATGAGAATCCCAGCCATTACCCTAACCCAGAGTCTTCCCGGACACAGTCCAAGACTAAGTTAACTGTCTTTTATAAAATTGTAAACGCTGCCTCCAATCCAAAATCTCAGGAATCCGGTAATAATCAGATTCTAAAATACTCATAAACACTTCAACATCAAACGTCGCCATCATTTCCATAATGCTCACTGCCACGACCCCAGACCACACTTTCATCACTTTAAACCTACGCTACCACAGCTCCACTCTATTTGATCCTACTAATTTCATTAAAGCAAAGAGCACAGAATTTGGTACTACTTAAATTCAGGTGTATTTAATGTGTGTGCGCATTCTAGCCATTTGTTTATGTTTGTTCTTTATTACAGAACTCAATGACTTCTGTCAACAAGATCTGTCACCATATAAGAGTACGTATAAAACCCGTGTTTGCAGACCCGGGGTAACAAATTCAACCCGCACTTTCTGTTCTTATCTCTCGTCCGCAACTCCAGTGGAATCTGAAGCGACAGGGAGGAATGATGGACGGGCAAAAGGGAGGGGAATGCTGAAGCCCAGAGGCTGGGGCCTCACTTCCGATTGCCACGCTACACCAACCAACCCACAAGACCCTCTGGCTCTTCCATAGTCCACAAGGAAAGGTGGAGCAGACGCCAGTGCTTCTCGGGTAATCCCCAAGAGCAAAGACACAAGAGGAAAATGCTCTGAAAAAGTCTCTTACTCGTTCAGGACTCACCTGTCAGTAGTGGCGTGGACGGCGCCATCTTGTCCCGGAAAGAGAAACCCATGCGCTGAGGTCAGAGTTCACGAGGGCCAAACCCGGCCCCTACACGTCTCCACAGGCGTGGAGACAGCGCATAGCTGTTTCCGGTATCACGAGCCTCGGGGCCAATTCACTTCCGGTGGGAGACGGCAGTAGAAAAAGGAGTCCGAACGCGCACGCGCAGCTCTGGGGAGACACTTTAATGAGCACTGCGGGGCGGGACTAGTGCTCGTGCGCCAGCCTTTGCCCTCCCCTCTCCCTCTTTTACAGCAGGCGGAGTCCGCACTTCCTCGGGGCGGAGTCCGTCCAGTGCTGACGTTGGCAGCCGAACCCGAAGTAGTTCGAGGCTACGGGCAGCGCTGCTCGGTTGTTGCGTTGCGTTTCCTTCCTCTTTCACTCCACGCTCCCGGCGGCGGCGCGAGAATATCCCGGCGGCCTGCTTGTCGTCCCGCGTGCCCGCTTCTCGGCCGGCTAGTCCGGCGTCGTCAGTCAGTCGGCGGCCCGACGCCCGGCAAGCGCTCGGCACCCGAGTTCGCCTCGCTCAGGCCCAGCGGCCGGAGCTAGCGCCCCGCCTGAGAGCCTTCTAGCTCCGGCAGCGCAGGCACCGGGACCAGAGCGTCGCAGCGGCCCGAGGGGAGGCGAGCTAGCGAGTCTAAGGGGTGGCTGAGGCAGGTGGTGGCGCCGTGAAGATGGTCGCCAAGCAGCGAATCCGTATGGCCAACGAGAAGCACAGCAAGAACATCACCCAGCGGGGCAACGTCGCCAAGACTTCGGTAAGGAAAAAGCAGGCGCCCGTCCGTCCCGCAGCCGGGGTTCAGGCCCGGGTCCTAGGATCGAGTTCTCCCCAGGCCCGAGGCCACGAGCTGGACGCTAAGTTGGCGGGGCGGGGCAGGGGGGAGGGTGGTTCGGGTAGGTGGGTGCTTGAAGCTAGGCGGTTCGGGAACGGAGGGCAAACCTGTGAGGGGACCCGGAAACCTGGCCCGCGGTGTAGGCTGCAGGAGCCCGGGATCGGATTGGGTTTTTGCATTTGAAATGGGACTTTCCGTTTTTGCAGAGAAATGCTCCCGAAGAGAAGGCGTCTGTAGGACCCTGGTTATTGGCTCTCTTCATTTTTGTCGTTTGTGGTTCTGGTAAGTGTTTTGGGGCTACCATCGGGTAGGGCATTGGATGTCGGGTTTGGGATGACGTGGTGACCCATCAGTGGTGAATCCTACCCGCGTAGTTCTCAACCCACCTGCTGGGAGCTCCACATAAGTGTCTCTCGCCTGAACCGAATTACTTGTCCCACATATGCACAGAGGGTGGTGCTCCAGAAACTTCTCATAGCTTGATTTGTGCTCACAGGAGATCAGAAAAGGAGGTCAGGTCTTCAGTTAGTAATGATCAAGTTGGAAGAAATTTAGACCAGAACAAAAAAACCTCACAGAATGAGAATTTAGAATGTTTTGCAAGCATATTATGAATGTATTTGCAAAAAACTTAGGAACATGATGTATATGTGGACGTTGAACTGAATTTAACTCTTCCCAAAATCTAATGTTTTTATGGCAAAATTGGGTATATTTTGTAAAGTAAAGCTCGTGCGAAGAATTGGTTGGGTATAGAGGAAATGTACCTGATTGGTAACTTAGTGTAGGAGACAAATGTTTTTAGATTAATTAAAGAAACGTTTGACATATGGGAGGAAAAATAAGTTATCAGGTCAGCCTACTATTAAAGTAATAGATTCCTGCCTCTGCAAATGGATTACAGAATATTTTTCTTCTTTTCATTTATTATTTCGATATGCAAACTGTTTATATTGTTTCTGTTTTTTATATTCTGACATTCTAAAGTTACTGAGGTTTCTCTTAAACGTTTCACTTCGCCTGCTTCCTAAACTTACTAGTTGGCCAAGAGCCAAGCAATTTATGTAACCTAAAGATTATTCAATTTCAGCTTTGTGAGAATGAGGAAACATGGTTATATTATAGGCCAGGCCTTAGAAGGACACTTAATATTTTGGGGATAAATCAAAATAATTCTATGCTAGAAAATCCTGTTTGCTTTGGTGCTTTAAGCTTTTTCTAAAATGATTGTGTATTGCAAAATCTCTTGGACAGACGTCGAATTCAGAAAAGCTGAAAAAAATAACTTATGGACATTGAATTGGTTTATTAGGGTAGGCTTGTCATCACTTCTTCAATGAAGTTACATAGCATTTGCAAGTAATTTTAAGGGTGCTCTTGGATTCTCATGAAGTACCTTAATGAATATTTGCCAGTTGTCATTCCTATTTTATTCAAAGCATGCTTACTAAAACATTTGTTCTTTCTTTTTACAGCAATTTTCCAGATTATTCAAAGTATCAGGATGGGCATGTGAAGTGACTGACCTTAAGATGTTTCCATTCTCCTGTGAATTTTAACTTGAACTCATTCCTGATGTTTGATACCCTGGTTAAAAACAATTCAGTAAAGCATCCTGCCTCAGAATGACTTTTCATATCATCCTTCATTTGTCATTCCAAGGTTTCTCCATGAGTCATTCCAAGTTTTCTAGTCCATACCACAGTGCCTTGCAAAAGCACCACATGAATAAAGCAATAAAATTTGATTGTTAAGCTATAGTAGTGGACCCTACTTATTCAGTCAGTAAAGAGTAAGTTTTCTTAATGTGGTTGTTAAAACCCTATCCAGTATAGATAGATAATTAGATTAAATCTATGTAGACAGAGTCTAGATTTTGTTAACCCTAATGTGTATATGCAATTAGTTTAATTTAAAATTTGGAGTCATGGTTTTTATATAGTTAGGCACTTTATTACTATATCTTGAATTGAAAGCACACTCCCATATAGGGTAATGTCACTGTCCTGTAATAAAGTGCTTATAAATGGAACAACTACACAGTTAGCCTCGTTTTCCCATAATCTTTAGCACCTAAAATTTTTTAAAAGCTTCTAAATGCCTAATATAAAAGGAGATGCTTATAGCTACAATATCTATTTTAACAATATTATTTCTATTACACTACCTTGGATTTTGCATGAGTAGTTATACTAATGTAAAATGCCATAAGAAAACTTGGTTGAGCATTTTGTAACTTAATCAGTAACTTCAGTTTCACTAAAAGCTACCATGTGGAGTAAAGTCAGGGAAAGTTTATGTCACCATTGATTTTACCATAATTAATATATCAAAGGGGTCTACTATGCTAGACAATATTTTGGGGAAAAATACTACTAAAAGTGGATGTTTCATCAGGACATCCTGATGAGTCTAATGTGCCATAAGACATCTTAGCACGTTAATAGCACTTTTAATACCAAAAAGGCACATCAACTAAAAAGTTACTTAGTTTGGAAATAATTTTCTGGGTTTATGATTAAAATTTTGGTAGGGCACTAGATACATCAGACTAAAGTGCCATCTGGAATTAAATGGATTTGCTGATAAGGATCAGTCTTTAGTCTTCCCTTTGTTGTATTTTATAGGTTATGATTGATCAAAGTTTCTTTTTACTAATGGTAAGGGTGAGAAGGCAGGTTTTAGGTTTTCTGATACTGTTGAAAATTGTAAGTTTTGGCTGTTTACTTAGCCATAACTTGATTAAAAAAAAAAAAAAAGCCTGAGAGGTGTCTATGTATCAATGAATTGGAAAGAAAGCTGCTTGTTTGCTTTGTTAATTGCCTCAGGATATCTCTTTTAAAATAAGCTGTTTTAAGAGGAACAGAAGGGAAATCTACCTAGTCATACACATTGTGAACCTCAGAGTTTCTGATACCCCTCAATATAGGGGACGAGTGAGGGAGAGGAGTAGTTAAGGATGCTTAGGAACTTGACTACTCTAAAACAGGAAAGGAAGGAATCAGCTGACCTTGGGCCAGCAGGTTTTTATCTGCAGTTACCTGCCTTTCTCACCCAGGAAATAAACACTTGTTTCCCTATGAAGCAAGTGTCTTGATTGACTAATTCTATTTTATTATAACTTTAAAAATGAAAGTTACTGTTCTAAATTTATAGCAGGTGCCTTATTCTTTGCTTTGAGTCAAACCATTCCGTATAAAAATTTCCCTTGGTTTACTATAAATAATTGGCTTTAAGATGTTAGGTTTTTTTTTTTTTTTAAGTTGTACAATGTCTTTATTGATTTGACTGTTAAATTGCTACAGCTAGCAATCATTTTACATATGTAAAGTTGCATTCCTTTTGTATTCATGTGTGATTTCCTAATTGAGTACATTTTATATTAAGGATGGATTATGCATGTTTGGGTCAATGAAAGCTATGTCTTGATTTATCCTTTAAAAATAAAGTTCCCAGAATATTTGATTCCTTCTGAAAGGAAATGATTTTACAGATTTCTTATCTGAGTGTACTTTTTATAGTTAATAGAAAATTAGAGAATGCCTAGTATTATGTTGTACTTGAGTTAAAAGAACTGGTACCCGGAGACTCAGATTAAAAATTTATAACTGGAAATAGGTAGCAAGAAAAACATTAAAAGTATAGGGGTGCCTGAGTGGCTTGGTGAATTAAGCAGCTGACTCTTGATAGCAGCTCAGGTCATTATCTTATGGTTCATGAGATCCAGCCCTGTCTTGGGCTCCATACCGACAATGCAGAGCCTGCTTGGGATTCTCTCTTTCCCTCTCTCTCTGCCCCCTTCCCTGCTTGCACACTTGCGCTGGCCTGCCCTCAAAATAAAAGTAAAATTTAAAAAAAGGAAAACATGAAAAGCACAGTGAATTAAATACTTCTCCACCTAAGATTTACCCTCATCTCATTATCATTCAAGAAGTCTCATTCAAGGAAAAATCACAGTTCTTTTGATCTCCCTTTCCCAATTGAATTTGGTGTCATCCAGTGTTGAACATAGTATGATGATGCTTTGTTGGGGGTTGTCTACATTGTGTCCAATTACGCTTTGTAACTTAGGTATAACATTTCAAGGAGTTGTTCAGGATTTCACTGTATCTGTTGGGTTGTATGTAATGTTGCTCAGAATAACCAAGTGGGCTTCCAGAATGTGGAAAGATTTTCATTGTAACAGGATGTTTTGTAATGGGCTTTGACTTACTTGGAAGAAGTGTGTGTGCTCAACTGCAGGGTGGTCGCTCTTACTGAGGTTTGTGGTGTTTTGCTGGCATAAAGGAGGACCCTGTAGAGGTGGATTATGTTCTTGGGAGGTTCATCAAAATTTTATTGCTCTTAGAGCATCTGAAATTTAGAACATCAAATTTTCTAATTAGAAATTCTTTTGAAATTTGATTTGTCTTTACCTACCTTTAACTTACTGTTTTAGATGCAAACCAGAACTTAAAGAAGCAGGAGTTGGGTTCAACAGCAAATTCTTTGTAACTCCCTTAGAGAACCCTTTCCTATCTAAACTTCATCCCACTGTAGCTACTTGTACTGCTTTATCTTCAAGTTGAATTAGGAGAAAAATGTCCTAATTTGAAAAGAGTACGAATGAGCAGTAAAAGGCTAGAAGTCAAGCTGAAGGGGAAAACTCAACTGTCAGGACTTGGATATTACAGAATCATAAATATGGAAAGGACATGAACAATTTAGTCCAATCGCATTTATTCAATGAATATTGAGTAACTTATGTGCCAGATATCGAGTTAGAGCTGTGAAAACAGTCCCAGCACTCAGGTATTTTTCAGTCCAGTAGTGGGAGAAAAGACAAAGTGAAAACCGTAATTGTGGTCAGTATTTCAAAGGAAAAGTAAAACCAGATAAATGGTGTCTGCTCTCACAAAGCTAGCTGAGGCAGAGCAGAAACTAGAACCAAGGTTTCCAGACTCAACTGTACCCTAGAGAAACCATAGGAATGATTGCAAAACGTCTATACAGAGCACTTCTGTTTTCATGAGCTCTTTACTTCTGCATTTAGAAAAAAAATCTTAATGAAAAAAAATGTTTTTGCATGTTGCCAATTCAAAGAAGAAAAAAACTTGTCCTTTTATAGATGCAATTTCTTTTGAAAATGAATTTAAGTGACAATTTTACTATGATGTTTCCTGTATAGCACAAAAATAGATCAAATCAGTAATGTTATCCACTGTAACATATTCAAGAGTACATTTTTAACAAATATTTTGCTATATATTCTTCTGTATTTTGTTTTAAAATTTTCATCTGTGATGTTGAAAAATCTTACTTGATAGTCTGGTAGCCAAAAATAAATGCAGTCATGTGCCCTCCATAGATTCTTTTTATTACAAAATTTCAGTGAATAAACCATGTGTGACTTTTTTTTTTACCATGTACAAACTTCTACTTTGGGATGTAGATAGAAAAAATCTGCAAATTTAAATAAAACTATGATTTCAAGGTCAATAAAAGCTTTAGTAACAGGTTTTTCTTCTTTTCTCACTGTTGTGAAGAAAGTCTGGACCAGGAGAATGAAAATAATTGATTTTAGAGCCAGAAAGGAACTTTAGAAATTATCTTGATTAGTAGCCCCTTTATTTTACATTTGAGGAAATTATGGCCTAGAGAAGTTCTCTTTCCCATCACCAATAATGAATCAGTAGCAGAACAAGGATTAGAAAGTAATTCTGATTCTTTAGGAATATCTTATTTTATTTTAGATTACATGTTAATCTCAGAAAACCCCATAAGTGTACTGTGAAGGCAAAATCTGAATATTTACTAAACTTCAATGGCTTCCCACTGCCACTGGAATCAACTCTTTAAGCTCTGATTTTCGGGAGACTTCACAACGTGGTCCAACCTACCTTTTCAGCTTTGGCCCCCTCACTCTCCCACTTGTCTCCATTGCCAAGTTAACCCCCAAAGTCTGCTTTCATTTTTCAAATACCTTGTGCTCTGTTTTTGCTCATTTCCCCTACATTACAATACTACCTATTCTTCACAAAGTCTAGCTTAAATTCCCTCCCTCCCCCACCATGAAGTCTTCTCTTATGGAAATTAGAAACTCTTTGCGATTGTTGACTCCGAACCAGTTAGCATTTATTATGTTGCCATGTTTATTAGTTTTGTTTGCTTAGTTTCTCAGCTAGAATATAGAAAGAATCCTTAAGAGAAACAATATTTTTATTTCTTTTTCATTCTTTTTTCATCTCCCATCACCACCCTCAAGGTGAATATGCAACTTTACACACATAGAGGGAGTTCAACATTAAAAAAAAATTTTTTTTAGTGTTTGTTTATTCTTGAGAGAGAGGGAGACACAGAATCTGAAGCAGGCTCCAGGCTCTGAGCTGTCAGCACAGAGCCTAATGGGGGGCTCGAACTCATGAACTGTGAGATCATGACCTGAGCCAAAGTCTGAGCCACCCAGGTGCCCCTTAGGTGAGTGATAAAAGAGAGCACTGGAAGCCCTATCATATCAGAATAATCTTTAAAGTAAGAACATGTCTTGTGAAATAATCTTCCTGATACAACAGTCACCCCAACTACTTCCAGTCTTGGCCACCTCTGCTTAACGGCTGGGCTTAGCACCAGAGTACAGTCCACCTTTGAAACGGACTCTCTCAGGATACGCTTGATATTTAGAAATAAGTCAACAGTGGTATTTGTCCTTCGGGCATATTTGAGAACCGCTCATTATGAGTGTCCTTGAGAAAACCATAAAAAGTGCTGTATAAAGAAAGCTGCCACCTCATCACACCAGTCTGTCCAGTTATAAGGAAAGAGTCAGACAACCATGCTGTTCAGAGAAGGTGCCTGGGGGCTGTCAGCTGCCCTCTGTCCTGGGCCCCATCCCAGAGCATAGGAAGGAACAAGGATGTCACAGGAGGTGCGCCTTTCTCCAAATCAGACCACAAACCCAGAAGGCTTTGCTTCTCCCAAACCAGATCCAGTCCATGAAAGGGATAGCTTGTTCTCTTCGCAAGGAAATTCCCTCCAGCAAGGCCACACCACACAGACTAGCATTTATGATGTCATGTGGTCACCAAACCAGATCTCATCCATTGGGCAAAGGAGACTCTC